TCTTCTTTATTCTCTATGGGAGGGGCCATTCACCGTCCACCTGTGCCTTTATTCCCGAGTCGTCCCTTGTTCCTTAGCTGTTCCCTTCATCTGGCAACTCTGCGCATGCGCACCTTGGGAAAAGGCTCCAGCTGTTTGTCTGCCTCACTGATGTCTGACTCTGAAGGCAGCTGATAACTGGCATATGGCTCTAGCCCCCTCTCTGCCTCCAACACAGAGCCCTCATCAGAGCCTTCCCCAGACTCCAGGACTCCCCAAACTCCCCATTGTCTGAATCCGCTGCCAGCTCTACTGGCCGCTGGCGGGCCACAACACATACATTCATTCTTCAACAGTTGAAATTCTTTAGGCTATGGATGATGTCGATGTTTGTTACTCTTTAAGGGGGGAAAAACCTGCAACAACAGTCTTGTAAACACCAGAATGGGAAGTAAACAACAGCTGGAGGAACCAGACCAATCCATGTGACTGAATTTTGTTACATAACTAAAACAGTGGTCGTCACCTCATTGTGGGAAAGTGAATTTCATTTAAAAAAATACAAAGATATACAACTTTGTTTCCAGAATAATTCTTGGACAATCCCAAAATAGGCATGAAAGAAGAAAATGTTCTCTCTAACCAAGTCTGGTTTATAACTTCTATCAAATGTCCCCCATGGATTTTTCCCCCTAACTCAATTGCACCTTAACATTTTCTTGTATTAATTAATGTCTTCCCAATCTAAAGTATACCTGGATTTGATAATTCAACATTAGCTATACATTGATCAGCAAATTCTAAATTAACTTGCTACCTAATGAAGATTGTTAAATCAAAATTGCCTATCTTTAACTGCCATTGATTCTGATTGGGGGAGATTAACACTGTTTCTATCCTGAAGCATCCTTTTTATCAAATGTATCTGGCAATGAATAAGTATTGGCCATGTGAACTTGGTGTAGTCAAGAATTCTATCAATGCTACCGACTCTTGTTTAAAAAGAATAATGGATAAATAGAATTACTGCCCTACATTCTTTCTTGACCAATCTTAGTTCCACCAGAATTTTTGTCACATACAAATCCTGTGAGTAGTAATAGAGCTAAAAATGCGGCCACAACAGAATTGGATGAGGTCTAAATCCAATTAAAACCAAGAGGATCCCATAGTATATATATCTATTCGGAAATAACTCCTAAAGAGCTTCACAGTACTTATTTCTAAGTATGTATGTTTGTGGGGGAGGGTTGTTGTTGTTGTTGTTGTTGTTTCTGCCTTTGAGTCACTGTTGACTCCTGGAGGCTGCCTAGACAATCCTGGCAGTTTTTTGACAAAATTGTCCAAAGATGTTTGCCATTACCTAGTTCCTAGGGCTGAGAGAATGACAGGCCCAACGTCACCCTGTTGGCTTTGTGCCTAAGGCAGAAATGAAACTCAGGGTCCCCCAAATTTTATCTGGTAACCACCAGGCTTTGGGTAAAGTTTAATTATATGATTATAACTCTAGTTTAGTGGCTCAGTGGCAAAGATGCTGAGCTTGTTGATCAAAAGGTTGGCAGTTTGGCGGTTTGAATCCCTAGTGCCACGTAATGGAGTGAGCTCCTGTTACTTGTCCCAGCTTCTGCCAACCTAGCAGTTTGAAACCATGTAAAATGCAAGTAGAAAAATAGGAACCACCTTTGGTGGGAAGGTAACAGCGTTCCATGCACCTTCGGCTTTTAGTCATGCTAGCCACATGACCACAAAGATGCCTTTGGACAGCGCTGGCTCTTTGGCTTTGAAACGGAGATGAGGACCACCCCTTAGAGTCGGAACGACTAACACATATGTGCGAGGGGAACCTTTACCTTTACCTTAACCCTAGTTTAAATAACTTAACCTGAACTTTATGTGTGAGTTTTAATTTTTTTAATCGGCTTATTTTCTTGTAAATCATTTTGTAGAAATTAATTTAAAATATGCTAATCAAATATACTATTAAAAAGATCATGAAAAGAACATTTTTAATAATTATTGTGTTTGCAATTAAAGAACCTTAATGAATTGCTCCTTGAAAAGGAGTTTTTTTCTTGTTTTAATCACTTAACATAAAATTTAATGAAACATTATCTCCATTCATTTTCAGATGGAAATGATGATGACACTTTCCAATAAATTTGCTGTGATACGAACAGGAAAAGCAAAATGTCAGAAATTGTGTAAGTGTGGGTGTGCTTGTTATGAAGCAACATTCAAAGGCACAGAAGGTTTTGAAATATGTTTTGGGCCAAAAGAATGTTAATAAATATACAGTACAACTAGCTGTTTTTAAAGGTAACTAACCTCATAGATATTTGAGTGTAGAGAATATAAGATCCTATCCCACTATTAAACAAAACACTTTATGATACAAGCCAAATATGAACTCAATCTTTCTGTGACTAGCCCAAAGCACGTTTCATGGGATTTTCAGTGTAATCTCTTATTGGGATAATCAATATATCATGTTTAAGCAAGCCCAGGTTTAGCACAGTGTGAGAATCAGGTCATTGTGTTTTTGTAGTTGTGGTTACATCATAAAAGTTGAACTGAAACAAAGCAGCATATCTGTTTTTTAACAGTACTTATTATGAAGACTTCTCAAAAGATTAGAAGGGGTTGAAAAGATTCTCAGAAAACATTAATTTTTGTCCTGAGATTAAGGCCCATCCCAGCCTTTGTTCTATAAAAGGGGAGTCTGGTTTAACTTTAAGGAACAATGTGGATAACCCCTGTAATTTCTAAAGTAATAATATGGGAATAGCTTTCAATTAATTTTAATTTTCCATCTTAAGCTACAACCCTGGGATAGCCTCATCTTTTATCATTCAAGTACTAAGATTTGCTTGATTGGTTATTTCGAGATCAGCCAATCTCAGCTGGGCATTGCCATCTGAATTTTGGTTTTGTCTAATATCCCCAATACAGTCACATAATTATTGAGTGGGGGGAGATCTCAAATATTGTCTTGCTTCTGCCCCAGTTTGAAAATACAAAACCTTGGAGCTTACTCTAGGAAGAAAAGTCAATTCCTATGTTTCAGTCACACCTTCCCCCACCAGTTTCAAGCAACCCAAATTTGTTGGCTTGTTTTATCAACCATGACTTTCACATCATGCCACCTTTTAATTTTCTTTTTGTGCTTCAACAAGCACCAAGAAATACAGAAGTCAAGAGTTTTCAGAATGCATTTGCTTTTTGTCCCAATGCTGACTTTAGAATAGTAAAAGTGAGGAATCCTACAAACCAACAGGCTTGCAGAACAAAAGCTTTTATGGGCCAGAGATAAATTAGGATCCATTTCAATAGTGCATTGAATGTTCTCTTCAACAGGAACATATACTGTGGAATAAAATGTTCAACAAAGTTCTAAACTGAAAGAAAGAAAGAAAGAAAGAAAGAAAGAAAGAAAGAAAGAAAGAAAGAAAGAAAGACAGAAAGAAAGAAAGAAAGAAAGTCAGAGAGAGAGAAAGAAAGTCAGAGAGAGAGAAAAAAAGAAAGGGAGGGAGGGAGGGGGAGAGGAGAAAGAAAGAGAGAGAGACAGAGAGAAAGAAAGAAAGGGAGGGAGGGGGAGAGGAGAAAGGAAGAAAGAGAGAGAAGGAGGGAGGGGAGGGAGAAAGAAAGAAAAAGAAAGGGAAGAAGGAGAGGAGAAAAAGAAAGAGAGAAAGAAAGGAAGGAAGGGAGGGGGAGAGAAGAAAGAAAGAGAGAAGGAAGGAGGGGAGAAAGATAGAAAGAAATTAAGAAAGAAAAAGAGAAAGAGAAAGAAAGGAAGGAAGGAAGGAAAGAAGGACTAATCAAGGAATGAGCTGTGTAAGAGCTGCAGTTATTAAGACTAGTTGCCAGTGATTATCAGAGCATTGCTAAGATAAAATCACAGGAAATGGTGCCTGGAGATCACCATCTTCTATTCTCAGCAACTGTTACCCATCTTTAAATACTTCATCATTCCTTGGCGCGCGCGCGCACATACACACACAGAGAAATCGTCATGCAAGTAAAAACAAACAAACAACCTAATAAATAATTTAGAGACAGCGAGATTTGGGGACTATGGATCTCTTTTGCACCGTTATATAAATCCCAACTAAGTCTTCATTATCTTTAATGCTCATAACCCCAATCTGTTTCCCGGGGACCTATTGGCCGCGAGGACGGGCGCGGGAGTCGGGTCCCGATGCCGCAAGGGAGGCAGGTTGGATGCACTAATAACCCCAATGCAAAGGTAGGAGACCGGTTCTGCTCAGCGTCTTTTCCCCCTTATTGCTCGTACCGGGAGGATACTTCCCCCCCCCCCCCGCTCTTTTGCTGAGAGTGGATTCTACGAAGGTGACTTAGCAAGTCCCCTTGGAAGACGACCCAAGGATGATTCCGCCTGGCAGAGCCTTCCAACCGCCCTGCGACAGATGAAAAGAAGGGGACCCGCGAGTAGGCGAAGGGAACGAGGTACCTAAAGTTTGAGCCTCCGGGGGACCCCAAAGGGCCAGGAGCAGGACCAGCTGTAGCCCGATCGCGCCGGATCCCGTCATGGTGCAAGCAGCCTCCGAATTAGCTTGTGCGCGGAGTTTAAATGCCCAGGCGCCCCTAGCGGCCCTTCTCGGCTCCTGCAACCAGTTCTCGGGTTTCGGTGCGCCAGTTGCCTTGGCGCGGCTCTAAAAACCGGAGCCTGACGTCAAAGGAGAGGCCGGCAGCGAATGGGTTGCTGCCTTTGAGGCCGGCAAATTGGACGCTCCGAGGCTTTCCCCAACGTGGTGCTCTCTAGACTGCAAGAGATGCGGCTCCCGTCAATGCCAGGGAGGGTGGCCGCGGCCCAAAACTAGACAAGCCTGGGGGGGGGGGTGCACATGGGGGGGGGAAGGGGCGCGATGGGGGGGGGGGGGGGGGGGTAATCCTACCTTTGAAGGATCTTGGGTGAGGATGTTTGCTTATGAATAGACCTAGCTATCTCTTTATTTCTTAAGTGCTGACATCTGCTGTAGGCTATTGAGGAGGGTGGGGTCTATTAAGAGTGAGTCTGCTTCCTGCCTAAAGAAACATGTTTCTTCATTTCTCATCCAGCGAAATATAATATTCTGCCTTTTTAATATTTCCTATAATATTTCATTCTTCTAAGAGAGGAGTGTCTGCTAACTTCCTATGCTATCATGTGGTTCTGTTTGCCCAACATATTGTTGCAAGAAATGTCCATCTGAGTAAAACATGGAGGCTGCTTGGAAGGATGATTTAATGGTGAACAGGACCACATGAGTTTGAAGTGGGCTTTGCCATAGAGCTTTCTGTCTGT